AGAGAGAGAGAGAGAGAGAGAGAGAGAGAGAGAGAGAGAGAGAGAGATGCATTACATACTCGAAGATGGGAAGAGATTGCTTCTGTGCTGCAAGGGAAGGGTTCTCGGTGACTCGCAGTCTCATATTCCTCAGTTTTGCAAAGGTTTCCAGAAACCGAATTCTCAATAAGCTTTACAGAAGATGCATTGTCTGAATGTACTTCCATTATGCAGTTTATTGTCAAAAAAAAAAAAAACCCTCGGGGAGGGCTGTATCCTGATGAACCTGCAGTTTCATTAGCACGGTGCAACCCCCTCCCCCAAACTTAACCGAGAGTATATCCTCCTACCTGTTGGTGTTGGATATCCCGACAGACTATAGCTTCTTCTTTCTATAAATTGCTGATTTTTTTTTTCCTGAGTGCCTTGACTGAGCATCCAGGCAGGGCTCGGCGGCGCCTGCGCGTTGGAGCCTCCTTCAGCTCCAGCCGCGTCCTCCCCTGTCGCAGCGGCACCGTCTCCCCCAGTAACGCAGGGGCCGCGGCGGCGGCGGCGCGGTGGCGAGGGCGGCGGCGAGGGTTGCTCCGGCCTCCGCCGAGCCAGCAGGAGCCCCTGCCTGTCTCCGGAGCAGGCTGGCTTGCTTCAATGTCCTGTCCAGTTTAGCCGGCCCCAAATCAGGCTTTTGTTCCCTCGAGGCAGCTTCGGAACTTTTCCCTCCCCGCATTGGCAATGGGGGGCTCGGGAAGGCTCTTCCCGGACCTCAGGCCCATCCTCTTCCCCTAGGGCAGCGCACGAAGCCACCGTGCCGCGGACGGCCGCCTCCGCCCCAGCTGCCCCGAACCCTCGCCTTCCCGAAACATCGTCTTCCTTTCTCTGTCAGGGTGGTCCTGCTAAGCATTGGATGCGCCTTGTAGAATTCTTCTCAAATGATTTTTCCCTGCTGATCTTGGATTTGGCACGTTAGCTGGGGAGAGAAAAAGAAAGAATGAAAAAGAAAAAAAAGAAGGAAAGAAAGAAAAAAATTAATCACAGTCAAAAAAATCTTGCCAGTGGGGGAAGAAGGGAAGAGGGTTGGGGTAGCCTCGTCTTTGTCAGTGGTCATCTGTTTTCGAAGGCACGCAGATCTGCGTTTAAGGAAGGAGAGGCTAAGTTCAGACGACAAGTGCAAAACCGATCTACACTCATTCTACCTTCTGGAACGTGACTAACGGATCAGGAGTACAGAGATTTTACATGGCTGTTCCTCACATCCCACCCCAAAGCAACAACACTCTCCTTTCTCTTCCAAGCTGGGATGACCAATAGGTTACTGATGTCAAAGCGGTGGTGTGTATGAGTTTCCCCTTTCTCTTCCTTTGTTATTAAACATAAAAAAAATAACCAGGAATATGATGAATACCAGAAACTTACACCAGTCCACAAACACCACATAGTCTGACACCTGGTGATTAGGAACGCCTCAAGAATCGTCCACGTCTCGATTCTCCCATTTCCAAGAGTTTTTGCGAGGGTGGGGTAAGATTTTAAACAACTACCCACTCTTCACCCCTTAAAAGCTAGCAGTCACGCTTTCATTAATTCCCAAGGTAAAACGTCTGCTTGTCTTCCTGCAAGCTTATTGCTTTATAATAATCTGTTAATGAAATAGAAAAAAAATCTCTCTACAGTAATAATTTGATCTCGAGACAGCAGTAAAATACCTCATCGCTGGGTGGTGAGATTGTGACATTCAGGGGAAGTCAAGCCAATCAGCATACAGATAATATAGGTTAATTTACATATTGTATTTCTATTGGATACATAGAGGTAAAATGTTTAAAGCTTAAAAATGAATACTTCACTGTCATGATGTCACAGTCGTTACACAAAGACCAACGTTAGTAATGCTGAAACAATGTTAAATTGCCCTGATTTGATTGGAGATATTTTTTAGCCAATTAAAAAATAATGATTAGCTGCGGTGTGTGTGTGTGTCTGTGTCTGTGTGTGTCTGTGTGTGTGTGTGTTTGTGTGTGTGTTCGTTTGGATATCTATAAGGCACTTGCTTTAGGCATTTTTATAGGAGAGTCAATCCTGCAACAATACTGGAACTAACTTGAAAATATTTCCACCCAAGTAAGACATTCTGGTTTTTGTAAAACACTATTCAGAAGAACTCAAAACCATATGATTGGTACAACTTTTAAGTAAAATCTCAAATTTGTTTTTATGAAATTACAGATTAATTTTATACTTCTTAAACTATATCTCAATGCATTTTGCAAAGAATGATTCTCTTTGCTGAACTTTTAAGATTAAAAAAAATTATATAGAAACAGTGATTCAAGTAAGTTTACTAAATATCTAGCATTTTCCAGCTGTTAGGTTTTCCAGATTAAGAAAGCCCTTAAAAGTAAATGTAAGGGTGAAAGTATATTGCCAGATCACAAGGTGATAATTCATTCTGGCAAAAAGTACAGGGCTAAGATCCAAAGGGTGAACTAGTCATATACTTTAAGAAGCATATATTGATTCCTTAAGGATAATAGAAAGGGATACGTATATGAAAAAGTCTTCTGTACCAACTTCCAGGTTATTAGAGCGATTTTTCCTTTGCAATTGAGTACAGTTATGCTCATTTCAGGCTCCCTTGCCCCCAGTTATTAGATGAAAATGTCATTTTCTTGCCTTGCAAGGGGCTCAAGAACTAATGAAATAATTTTTAATTTAGGTCATTAGTGCTACAGGAGAAAAGGTCAGATTTTTTATCTTTCAACAACAGGAGTCTTAAAGATATATTTAGTAGGTGAACAAAGTTTCATATTATCAACAAGTTCTCAAAAAGATACTGATCATTGCAGATTTATCCTCATATTGTAGGGTTACTGATCTCAGCTATTTTCTTTTTTGATTTCTTGTATCACCAAACCTAGAAAAATTGTTTGTTCGTGTTTTTTGAGTTAAGAATAAAGGTACAAAGCAAATGCAGTAAAGCACTTTAAACCTTAATCTTTGGGCTTAAATTCTTTAAAAACGTTATCCAATTAATTTGTGGTTAGGATGACTGAGGTAATTTAATCAGTTTGGTCTTTATAATCAATAGAAATAATTTTATTTTAAAAAGAAACTACCTTCTTTCTGGAGTTAATCTATTTCAGATTTTTTTGTTCAATGATGCTCATCTCCATTAGCGACAAGGAGGCTTTATTCTGTGGGTTTCTCATGTGCAGTCTTCATTTGAATTCATAGAACAATAAGCTGCATAAAATATTCTAAAAATCATATCTAGTTGTTCATTTAAAACATCACTTTTCCTGCTTTTAGGTTTATAGTCATTAAGGCCTTAAAAAACATATAAATTTAGAGTTCTGTACCAGTGATTTCTGAAAGCTTTATTGATAGAAAGTTTCCACTGGGCCCTTTTGCATAGAAACATTTTCTGATAGACTAAGAGCTAATCTGGCATAAGTAATTAATAGATTAAAAAAATTATACATTTGTATTTTAATAATGTTTTCCAAAATTCAGTGGATACAAATAACCAAGCTTTTTCACAATGATTTAAGTAGTTAAAGGTTTCTAGGGTACTTACATATTTAAAGAGTTGAATGGTGGACTCTGCATCTAAAATATGACCTTCTGATTGTAAAGTTGTGCCTCAGGTGTGTGGAATAACCATAACTGAACATCTCAATGAATAAGATTTCTTCAGAATTTTAATGGTGTTTTTAAAAGATTAAAAATCTGGCATATTTCTTTCCAAATCACTAAGAGGTTCATTTGTCAGATTTCTTTTCTTTCTGTTCTGCCACACAGCAGGGTCCAAAGTGCTGTTAGAATTCATATTATAATTCATTTTTTATTTTAGAGCTAGCGTCTTCCTTCGTGGTTTAAGATACAGGCTTTTGAAAGCTCAGCAATTTACTTTCTGTGACCTTTATGTAGAAATTTCTCTTCTCTAAAACCTTTAAGACTTTTTCCCTTTATGTTTGTCAGGCTGATTCTCTGTGAGACACAGGGTAATACTCAGGTGAAGGGACTAGTTCACAGGCAATGGCACTACTCTTTTTTTGTTTGTTTTTTTTTATTGGATATTTTATTTATTTATTTTCAGATGTCATCCCCTTCCCTAGAACCCCTGTCCCATCACCCCTCCTCCTTTTTGCTTTTATACCTTTTTAATTACATGCAAGTATTAAGGTCAGTTAGCCATTAAGGGACTAGCAATACAATAGATGCAAATAGTCAAAGAACAAGCAAGACAATAAACAAAATTCCGTGTGAACACACCCATGATCACTGTTTCTAAAGCCTTATCAGGATAATCTATCTGAGCCTACTTCCCTGTCCTAGCCCCAAGTCATTTTCATGTCTGAAGCCTACTTCTTTGTTCTAGCCTAAGATTTAGATTCCTGCCTGAAATTACTTCTTTGTTCTAGCCTAATGTCAGCTTCCTGCCTGAAGCCCACTTCCTTGTCCTTGGCCAAAGTCAGATTACAGGCAATGGCACTACTCTAAGGAAAAGCAGAGGAGGTGCAGTGAGCAGAATCGAAGGGGTGGGGAGGCTTATCTGAGGAACCAGTGGTGAGTCTCATAGTGAATAGCTATGAGGCAGAAGAACTGTTAATGGACGGTGGCAGAAGGAAAAACGGAAAGAAGGAACTGTTTCAATAATGAAAGTAATGTGTTATTTTAAATATATAGAATGTGATGTGCGTGGGGGGGGGGTAATTTCAAATGCTGGTGTCTTTTAGGCAGCCAAAAGTGAAGCTCAATTCAGGAAGTACCAAGGGGGTGATGGTAGGGCAATCTAAGCTGACGGGTGGCATTGCCAGCTCAGAAGATGTCAAGAGAGTCTCTTATTCCCATTGCATTTAAAGGGGGTGGAGACTTTAAATATGTTGGAGAAATGGAAGGATATGAGCATCTTTAATGTTATGTATGCCTGGGATTAAAAACCTTTCGAAGAGGAGGAGTGGTTATCATCCATGCAAACTGTGCCTCAGAACTTTAGACTCAAGGGTGAGTGAGAAGATATCCTTGGTCTGGTGGTAAGGTTAGCAGCTTTCGAGAGACAAATCTGTATGGATTAAGACGCAAGAACACAAGCTTATATGGTTAGACTAAAATGATTGCTCTGTTAATCACAGCACTGTCTCAGTGAGAGAAGTCTTAGTGAATTAAATGAACAAAATGGCCCTTATTTAAATAAATACAGCATATCTTTTTCTTCAAGAAGGCCAGAAAACCTTTAAATTGTACACAATTTAAGTTATGTCCTGTGATGAAGAGAACAAATGCAAGTTCCCTATTAATGCCTGGTACAATTTCAGAGCTTAAAGAAAACCCTTGCTCTATTATTAAACTCAAAGTCGTCTCATGGGTTTGTATTTTTACACCCCACGTTTTTGAGGCAGTCAGTCTTAGCTAAGAAAAACAAAATGGACAGGGCATGTGTCTAGAGGAATGGTGGATTGGTTGGAAGGAGAATCCACATGTTGGTAAAACAACTAAGGAATTCAAAGCTAACTGAATAGTCAAGTAAATGGAAAGTCATACATATCTCACATGGATTATGAATTCTCAAGGAATAAAAATGCAAGGTAGTTTTAAGATCTCTAGAAGTATAAAGACTTTTTTGTTTGGTTATTTAGAGGTTACTTTAATCTTGCAGTTCATTAAGGAAGTTATTATGAGTACCAGTGCTGTGATAATATAAGCAGATTATGATTACCTGAGGTTCTGTGGTGTTCAGTTTTTTTGACAAATGGGATAATTAAAGCATGCTGAAAGTAAAGAACAGTGCTTTCAGATCTCAGAACGCCATAGGCCTGCCTAGGCCTGCATTCGGATTTTGTGATTAGCCTTTCTTTTACATTTCTCTTAACTTTCTAAACTTTATATTTTCTCTTTACAGAGTTATAGCGTCATAACACTGAGACAGTCTTGTCTCCGGTTGAAAATGTATGAGGACCATTCATAAATATTATAAATATTTAGTTTTGTTAACATTGGTTAAAGGGGAATTATGCTATCTCCTTCATTTTGCATCAAAAGTGACTTTATTGAGACTAAGTCTTTGAAGCACACAATTTCATTCAATCAGCAAATAGCCAAGGCTTGACTAGATATAAACTCAGATGTATTGGTATTTTTCTTCCCTGATGCCCCAAAATAACCTGGCCCAGTGAGTGGTACATACATGTTGAGTGGATGCTTCTGACCTACTATGCAGCAGGTACTCCTCGGGCCCTGTAAGGTATGATAGGGACAGTGCCAGAGACTCCAAAGAGACTCCATGTTTCTCTTAATTGAATAAAAATGAGATATCTATTTAGAATAGAAAATTATTTTGGCCAACGGTTCACTCTGAGTGTAGAGTTCAGTTTGGTTTTTAACATTATGACATAAGCATCTATATGATTTCTCGTTTGCTAGTATTCAGTGATTTTCATATCATTTTCCAATGTCTCTTGTGTAGATTATAAGACAAGACTGGATATTTTGTTTCTTTATAACTAAACTGGTGTTTGAATACAAAAAAATATTTACAGTTACCCCTGCCTTCCTATATATATATGATTATTAATCTTTTAGTGACAGTGAATTTTTATTTTATTTTATTTTTTTTTGGTTTTTCGAGACAGGGTTTCTCTGTATAGCCCTGGCTGTCCTGGAACTCACTCGGTAGACCAGGCTGGCCTCGAACTCAGAAATCCGCCTGCCTCTG